TTTACAGAGAGGAAGGGAGAGAGATAGAGAGCTAGAAACATCCAGAGAGAAACATCGACCAGCTGCCTCCTGCACAGCCCCCACCAGGGATGTGCCTGTAACCAATGTACATGCCCTTGGACCAGAATCGAACCTGGGACCTTCCAGTCCGTAGGCCGATGCTCTATCCACTGAGCCAAACCGGTTCCGGCAAAATTGCGTTATCTTATACATTTAAAAGTCTTGTTCTGAGATGAGCTCCACAGGCTTCCCTTATGAGGGCCAAAGGCACAAGAAGTTAAGAACGCCCAGCCCCGTGGTGGACAAACTGCAGCTCGCGAGCCACATTCGGCTCTCTGGCCCCTTGAGTGTGGCTCTTCCACAAAATATCACGGCCTGGGTGAGTCTATTCTGAAGAAGTGGTGTTAGGAGAAGTTTAAGTTTTAAAAAATGTGGCTCTCAAAAGAAATTTCAATCTTTGTACTGTGGATATTTGGCTCTGTTGACTAATGAGTTTGCCGACCACAGCCCTAGCCTAAACCTGTTCTTAACCTATAATAATAAAAGGGTAATATGCTAATTAGACCTGATGTCATTCCGGACGTCCTTCCTGGCAAGCTGGAGCAGAGGGTGCCAGAGGGAAGCCAGTGCCGGCAACCGGGGGAAGGAAGGCCTACCCTTGCATGAATTTTCGTGCACTGGGCCTCTAGTTTATTATAAACAAGATTTTTATTATGAAACGAATTCATGAATGAGGGACGCAGTCATTTCTCCCTGCTATATAGAGGATCCATCAGTGATCCAACAGACACACTTCACAGCATCAGCCAGGTTTTCCCACTCCGGACTCATCTTCAATTCTTTTTCTTTTTCTTTTAATATATTTTATTGATTTTTTTACAAAGAGGAAGGGAGAGGGATAGAAAGTTAGAAACATCAATGAGAGAGGAACATCGATCAGCTGCCTGCTGCACACCCCCCACTGGGGATGTGCCCGCAACCAAGGTACATGCCCTTGACCGGAATCGATCCCAAGACCCTTGAGTCCACAAGCCGACGCTCTATCCATTGAGCCAAACAGGTTTCGGCTCATCCTCAATTCTACTTAATGCAAATACGTGCCTTGTTTTCCCCTAGTGCACTTGAGCTAGCTTTCTGCTTTTACCAGAACACCCATGGGGCCCACTTAGCCAGCACTTATCAAGCATCTATGATGTTCAGAACTGTTTCCAGAACACAGACCCTGGAGATCTGCCTTCGGAGATGCTCCCGGCCCAGGGGGCAGATGAACATCAAAGAACTGATGGACCTTCCAGGGCCAACTGGCCAGCCAGAGGCCGCGCTCTGAGAGGGCATCTGTGTGCCCGCATGCTGGCTGCCTAGCGTGTCCAACTAGAAACACACAAGGCATCCTCCACCGGTACAGAGCTCATTAAGCTATACACACACGGGACATGTTTATTCTTGCTGTCCTCTCAGGTTGAGAAATCATCAAATGTTTTCTGGGCTCAAGAGTCCTCAGAGGCCAGTACTTCACTTGCAAGATGACCAAGGATGGGATTTTTTTTTTAAGCAAACATTTAAGGGTCCGGGTCACCTCATCAGCCAGCACGCTCCGAAGGCATCCCCAGGCCCAACGTGCAGTTGCCTTTAGTGGCCAGTGGCTGTTACTTGGTTACCTCCTGGCTGGCATTGGTAACCAAGTTATAGGGAGCCACAGGAACAGAACGAAATGCTTCAAGCTGAATTCCATGGAAATCACATCACAGAACTGCGGGATTAGGAAAAAAGACTGACAAATGGGAAAAAGAACATAAATCAAGGCTCCACAGGCTTTGACTCACCGTTGAGTCACATCAAATCCTCGTGCCAAGAGCAGTATACTTGGGCTCATTATTCTCAATTAAAATAAATGTTTTCGGAGACCTCACAGGTGGTGGATGGCTCATAAAGTGCCCTTTAATGAAAACCAAAAGAACTTACAAGGGCCTAGTCTAGCCAGGCCCCTTGATTTTACAAGGCTGGATACCCACTGACAAGCGAGGGTGACATGCCTCCCCCCGTATCAAATGATGGGGGGCCTAACTGGTGTGGCTCAGTGGATAGAGCGTCAGCCTGAGGACTGAAGGGTCCCAGGTTTGATTCCGGTCAAGGGCATGTACCTTGGTTGGGGGATCATCCCCAGTGGGGGGTGTGCAGGAGGCAGCTGATCAATGTTTCTCTCTCATCGATGTTTCTAGCTCTCTATCCCTCTCCCTTCCTCTCTGTGAAATGTCAATAAAATGTTTTAAAAAAATAAAAATAAATCAATAAAATATATCTTTCAAAAATGATGGGGGGAATACAGTAAGAATCAGACTTCTGTTACTGCCAAAACACTCATGTAGGGACTTAAGATCTAACATAGATGCATGCGTACACACATTCCCTTCCTTAGAATTATTCCTTTCTAGAATGTTCTTTGCGTTAATCTTCAACTTAAAGATTAACAGGCTGGGAGTGAAGAATAAATGGCTGGGAATACGCCTCAATCTTTTCCCCTTTACCTTCTCTGGGCACAACTAAATTATTTAGATGTCACTTTCCCACCTTGCCAACTCTGAACTGCCAGTCCCTCCTGCTCCCTTCCAAGCTGCACATCCATGGCTCTCTCCCTCTCTGGCCAGTGCCAGGCAGTGTTCAAGTTCTCTCACTTTTTCTTCAGTTATGTGAAGGTTTCCCCCACTTTTACAACAGAACACAGAAGCAGCCACCATTCCGGCAGGCGACATCCGAATTAAGCCAAAAGCTGTTCCGGCTTCAGGCAGGGACACACACCAAGTCAAGAATCTTTGTGCCTCATCCAGAGAGGATCTCCTTTACAGCCTAGAAACTCATGCTAAGTCCGGGTGAGTGCTCACAGGTGCTTGCTACCATCAGGGTCACTGCCTACACCGGTGGTCGGCAAACTGCGGCTCGCGAGCCACATGTGGTTCTTTGGCCCCTTGAGTGTGGCTCCTCCACAAAATACCACGTGTGGGTGTGCACGCACAGTGCGATTGAAACTTCGAGATGAGTTTGCCGACCACTGGCCTACACTCACCTCTTAGCAGATAGGTATTCCTTCCTCCATCCTCACTCAACCTCCTCACCTCTAAATTGAGTATTATATACAGCCTGGCCAGTATGGCTCAATGGTTAAGGCTTGACCTATGAACCAGATCACAATTGGATTCCGGGTCAGGGCACAGGCCTGGGTTGCGGCCTCGAACCCCAGTAGCTGGGGCCCGAGGCAGCCAATCAATGATTCTTCTAATCGATGTTTCTCTCTCTCCCTCTCCCTTCCTCTCTGAAATCAATAAAATATATTTTAAGCCCTAACTGGTTTGGCTCAGTGGACAGAGCGTTGGCCTGCGAACTCAGGCGTCCCAGGTTCGATTCCGGTCAAGGGCATGTGCCTTGGTTGTGGACACATCCCCAGTGGGGGGTGTGCAGGAGGCAGCTGATCGATGTTTCTAACTCTCTATCCCTCTCCCTTCCTCTCTAAAAAATCAATAAAACATATTTTTTAAAATATATATATATATATCATATATCATATATATTATATTTATATATATTAAATATATAAATTGAGTATGCTACAATCTTCACTAAGCACTATCAGCTTTAGCTGGCAGGGTGACTACTCAACAACACCTTAGCTATCTCACACCCCACCAGCCACATTCCCGATCACCATTTTACCTCCGGATTCCTCCCAGCAGGCTCCGCTCCCTCCATCCTCACCTAAGAAACGTGGGAACTAAAAAAAACAGCTTTGTTTTCCCAGGGCACTTCCAGACCACCCAAACACAATGAGACGGCTTAGCAACCTCGCGGTGTTTTACGGCAACTCCCTTAATATTAAATAAAAGCCCTATGAAGTCTGCACTGTTCTCACCACCCCACCCCCCACCCCCATATATTTAGGGGGGGGGGGGTGAGGCTCAGGAGGAAAACCAAGGCCAAAGTCAAACGCAGGGCCAATCGTGAAGGGCAGGGCGCAGACCTAGATCTTCCTCCAGTCCTAATTTATTAAGTCCCCTGCCTTCCAGATCTTTCATTTGGGGAAGAAAATGCCAAGTGCTCCGAAGTTCAAAAATCGGGAAGAGAAAGTGAGAGAGCCAATGGTCTCAATGGTGACAAAAAAGGCTGATGCGTCCAATCCCAGGAAAACCCTGGGAAAGCGGGATGTGGGCGCGATGCTCCGAGGGCCACGAGGGAGAGGGAGAGGCAGACCGCAGTCCGCAGCTCTCCCAGGTTTAACGCCATCGGAAAGCCAGGCCCGCGGCCCTCCCCTCCCCCACGATGGAAGCACCTAGAGAAAAGCCTGCAGCACACCGCTCCCATCCCCGTTCCCGCACACGGTCCCCAGTTCCCCAGCCCTCGCTCCTGGTCGCCTCTCAGGCTCCTAAGCCTCCCGATTCGGGGAGATCGGGCTCGGATTCGGGGAGATCGGGCTCCCGTGCCTAGCTCCCCCCCCCGCCGCCCCACACAACACCCCACATCGTAATCATCGTTTCCTTTTCCCGTCGCCGGTCCCTTTCCGGGGGATCCATCTCCCACGCCGCCGCCTAAGAATCCCGCCAGCGCCGAGCGGTCCTTCCCCGGCCCCGGCTCCCCGAGGGGAGTCCCCATGCCCGCGGGGAATCCACCGCCGCGGAAAACAGGAAAAGGTCAGGCGGGCGGCCCGCGCCCTCCACGCCTCGCCCCGCCGCCGCCCCTGCACCCCCGCCCCGTGGCTGTCCCGCCGGGGGGGGGGGGGGGCTGCTGGGCGACCCGGGCCCGGGAGGGAGGCTTGGCTGGGAGGAGGCGCCCGGCGCGGCCCCCCCTTCCAGGCCCGGGGACCGAACGGGGCGCGATCGGGGCGAGATCGGGGCGCGATCGGAGCGCGGCCACCCCACCCCCCGCCCCAGCCGCCGGGGCACATGGCCCCGCGGGGCGCATTGTTCGGCCGCGGCTCCCGGGGCGGCGGGCAGGTGGCGGCCGCGTGTCCTCACCTTTGGCGCCGAGCTTGAAGTCGAGCGTGCTGTGCCGAGCTGCTGCCATAGTGCGGCGGGGCCCTGGGCCATGCCTGGGGGGCGGCCGCGGGAGACGGGGGTCCGCGATGGCTGAGCCGGCGGCTGTGGGCTGCGGCGCCGGGAGGCCGGGGATCGGGGGGGCGGGGCCGGCGGGAGCCGCCCGGGGCGCGGGGCGGGGCCGGCCCGCCTCCGGGAGGAGGAAGCGCGGACGCCGCGAGCCCCGAACTCGGAGCGCGGGGGGGGGGGGGGGGGGGGGCGGTCTCGCTGGGGCGATGGGGGAAACGTGGGCGCCGCGCTCCCCGCCTGCGTCACCAATGGCCGCGCCCCGCGCCCGGGATCGGCGGCCGCTCCCGCCATCCGTTAGGTCACCTTAGGTTTAAACGTCGCGGCGCGGCTACGGGGGGGAGGGGGGCACCCCCCTGCTGCTCCCACACCGGCCCCCCAAGCCGAGGCCCCTCCGACTTCCCGGCCAAGGAAAGAAAATAAAATGCTGGGATCCACCCTGCAGTCCCCAAGTACCGCACTGCCGCCTCCTTAACTCTTCCCAGGCTCCCCTTCAGCGCCTTGGGGATGGGATGGCCATTCTCATGAGCCAGGGTCCCTGTGCGTTTCAGGACCGGATAGAAGGACACCTGGGCATTGAAGTTACCCACATTTTTATGCAAAACGAGAACGGGGGGGGGGGGCGGGGAAGTGAGAGGAGAGCGTTGTGAACGTGGATCTGGGGAATTACAGATTCTGGAGCTGCGCCTCCATCCCTAATGCTCCATCCGCGGCAGTGAGCCCACCCGCTCTGCGCTTGTCTTTGGCTTTGGTGTGGCTGGTGTTCAACAAGATGTGGTAAAGGAAACAGCAGCAATGGCTGCGCATTACAGCTCCATCCTTCCATCCCTCTTTTGTGCCTGCCTTGCCTCTCCGCACGTGAATTGCTGTGCTGGCTGGACAAATTTGAGACAGTGAAATCTCATGCCTCCACAAAGCCAGAAGAACCTAGGATTAAACTCGTCTCTCCTGCAGGCAGCCACTAGTCCTGTTTTGCTGAAATCTTTCACCTTTCTTTCCTTCCTTTCTTCCTTCCTTTTTTTTCCCAAATATATTATTTATTTATTTTTTTTTACAGAGAGGAAGGGAGAGGTTTAGAGAGCCAGAAACATCCATGAGAGAGAAACATCGACCAGCTGCCTCCTGCACACTCCCCACAGGGGATGTGCCCGCAACCAAGGTACATGCCCTTGACAGGAATCGAACCTGGGACCCTTCAGTCCGCAGGCCGACGCTCTATCCACTGAGCCAAACCCGCTGGGGCTATCCTTCACCTTTCTACAAGAACTGAGCGATGTCTTCACAAGTTTTCATCAACACACCGTTCTATTAAGAACAGAATTCCCTTTTTAGCATTAATTTCTTTCCATCCACAGCCACCTGTGTGCTCTGTATGCTTTCCTTCCTTCTGTGGTTCCCAGGTTCTCAGTTGCCTGTAGCTACTCTCCCTCAGCTTCCGGTCCTTACACTGCAGCCTGCAGCTCCTGCGTGCTTCCTGGGATACTCTTGTTCTTGCTTTCCTCCGGAGTCAGGTTACTGGGAACACAGCTCGTCCTTGGCCACACTGAATGGCATTGTGGCTCCACCGAGTCTCAATGTGCCTCTCTCTCCCCACTCGGCAGCAGGGTGGGCCGCTGGGGCACAGAACCTGGGCGGTGGCACACTGTCAAGGGCTCGGAAGAGCCTGTGCTTGGTGTAATGCTCTCGTTTTGGAACAAGGAGCCCTGTGTCTCTGTTTTGGTCGGGACTGTGAGTTATGTAGCCAGTCCTGCTTGGCAGCTTGTGTCCTGCTGTGCTCGGGCCTCACCTTGCAGAAGCAAAACAGACAGAGGTGAAATGCCTTGAGCTGCTTGGCCCCAAACTAATCAGACAGCCGTAACAAAAGTGGAATTTAACAAAAATGCATCATGATGTGCAGAACATCGGAGATCAATGGGCCTCTACACTGAGTGGCCAGATTATTATGATCTCTGAACACATAATAATCTGGCCACTCAGTGTGTGTGTGTGTGTGTGTGTGTGTGTGTGTGTGTGTGTGTGTGTGTATATATATATATATATATATATATATATATATATATATATAAATAAATAATAGGCCTGGTGCATGAATTTGTGCATGGGTGGTGTCCAGCCAGCCTGACCAGGGGGAGGGGACATGGGCTGTTGGACGGCCTGCCTGCTGATCGAACTCCTGGTTGAGGGGACAATTTGCATATTAGCCTTTTATTATATAGGATATCCACTGAGTGGCCAGATTATTATGCATTCAGAGATCATCATAATCTGGCCACTCAGTGTATATGAAAGGATGTTGGGGTAGCTTTAGGAGTTACTGTAAGGGTGTCCTCAATGCATGTGTCACCTACCCATGACACAATCCTGACAAGGTTGTTAAAGGCAGGACACGGACAGGAACCAAAGGATTGAGGCCTCTTTAAATCCCTCCTGAACTGAGTACCTACTTGGATCCTGGAACCTTTTCTCACTGCCTGGGTTTTATAACCTAGGCCCCCCCGGCTTCACGGTTAGTTACAGGATGAATAATCCCTTTGTTTGTGGGAATTGCTTATGTTAGTTTCTGGAAATTACCAGAATCCTGCAACAAAAAACCAAGAGAGACCCAACTACAGCCTGCATTCTGGAAGCAACCTCCTAATCAACAAGATCTTGGCAATGGCGACAATGTGGATGTCATGGACCAGTGTCCTCTGAACCCACCACATCTGCTCGTGGCCAAAAGGGAGGCCCCAGACAATCAGTGTGGCCCCTGCTGGCACACGCTGTCTTGTGGAACATAAGCAGTTCCCCAGAATGGCCACATCGAATAAGGCCATCCTCTGAGCAGCCAGGGACAAGACAAAAGCAAGCCCACTCCATGCCCTAGCTGGTTTGGCTCAGTGGATAGAGCGCTGACCTTTGGACAGAAGGGTCCCAGGTTCAATTCCAGTCAGGACCACATGCCGCGTTACAGGCTCGATCCCCAGTAGGGGGCGTGCAGGAGGCAGCAGATCAATGATTTGTTTCTCATCATTGATGTTTCTGTCTCTCTCCCTCTCCCTTTCTCTCTGAATTCAATAAAAAATATACTTTAAAAAAGACCACTCCAGAATCATGTCTGAACATGGAGACATGTGAACCTGAACCTCATCTAACCACAAACATCACCAAACATTCTGCCAATCCTGGCTAAGTGATGGCTCCTCTTCCTCCTCCCCCTCCCCCTCCCCCTCCTCCTGTAATATGTATTTTATTGATTTTTACAGAGAGGAAGGGAGAGGGATAGAGAGTTAGAAACATCAATGAGAGAAAAACATCGATCAGCTGCCTCCCGGACACCCACCACTGGGGATGTGCCTGCAACCAAGGTACGTGCCCTTGACTGGAATCGAACCTGGGACCTTTCAGTCCGCAGGCCGACGCTCCATCCACTGAGCCAAACCGGTTTAGGCGACGGCTTCTTCTTTGCCCATCACAGCCTCTGCCTAGTCTTCCTGCTTCCAGATGGCATGGATTAAGGCACCCAATCATGGAATCACCCTGCCCCCAGTTCTGAGCAATGCCCGGCGTCCTTAGATGCTCCCCCCAAACACCTAATCCGGGCCCAATCCCACATGTGGGCCTTCCTGACACCCTCTGGCTGTGATGCTCCACCGTGCCCCGAGGTGTGCGTTCTCCCTCCCTGAGAGGTGTTCCACTCCAGGTGTGTTCCTGGGGGTATGTGACCAGAGGGCAGTGCCAATAGTGACTAAAATGAAGTCAACGCTGAAGGTGAAAAACCATAGGTTTGGTGCCAAAATTCACATTCGCCGGGACCCACCTGCTTAGCCCAGCTTGAACATCTGCAATAGAGCTGTTGTGTTTTCATTGATTTCAGGGAGGGAGAGGGAGAGAGAGCTAGAAGCATCCATGATGAGAGAGAAGCATTGATCAGCTGCCTCCCGCACGCCCCACACTAGGATGGAGCCTGAAATCCAGGCATGTGCCCTGACCGGGAATCAAACTATGACCTCCTGGTTCACAGGTCGACACTCAGCCACTGAGCCGCACCAGCTGGGCTGCAAGGCAGCACCAGTGACGACCAACCAGGAAGAAGGACGTCAAAACGGGGAAGAGCCCTCCGTTCAAAAGGAGAAGGTGGTCGAAGCCGGTTTGGCTCAGCAGTAGAGCGTCGGTCTGCGGACTGAAAGGTCCCAGGTTCGATTCCGGTCAAGGGCATGTACCTTGGTTGCGGGCACATCCCCGGTAGGGGGTGTGCAAGAGGCAGCTGGTCAATGTTTCTCTCTCATCGACATTTCTAGCTCTCTATCTCTCTCCCTTCCTTTCTGTAAAAAGTCAATAAAATATATTTAAAAAAAAAAAGAAGAAGGTGGAGGTGGCAGAAACGGGAAGGCAGAGTGCTCACTGGACACTGTCAGAGGCCAGACGCCAGTCATCGTGCGCTGTCCCCAAGCTGCCTAGTGAAGAGGGGCCTTCAGCAGCTGCACCTGCCATCAAAGCCGGAACTTTCGCTTTTACTGTTTTTTTTCTCTTTCACCAGTCCACTTGGGACCCTTGGCGACATTGCGCCTCCCTGCTCACTGTGCGCAGCTGTGGTGAAGTCACTTCCTCTCTGTAAAAGCCTGGCCTGGTTATTAGGGTGCGAGTGGCTGACAGACATCTGGAGGACTCCCCGCCACTTTGCAGATGAATGTGGGCTTCCCCAGCTTGTTAAACACGACCACATTTCTGATTAAAGGGGGGAACTGAGAGAGGCCTGGGATATTTAGCCCAGTGTTTCCAACTTAGCTGCACACTGGATCACGTGCGCCCCGGCCCATGAAGTCCAGCCTGGGCATCGGCCTTGTGTTAAAAAACAAAACAAAACAGTTCTAGCTGGTGTGGCTCAGTGGATAGAGCACGGGCCTGCAGACTGAAGGGTTGGATTCTGTCAGGGTTTTGAGCTCAATCCCCAGTAGGGGGTGTGCAGGAGGCAGCCGCTCAATGATTCTCTCTCATCATTGATGTTTCTCTCTCTCTCTCTCTCTCTCTCTCTCTCTCTCTCTCTCTCTCTCTCTCTCTTTCTCTCTCTCTCTCTCCTTCTCCCTCTCTGAAATCAATAAAAATACATTTTAGCCCTAACTGGTTTGGCTCAATGGATACAGTGTCGGCCTGTGGACTGAAAGGT